ACTAGATACTATCTAACAGTATTTTGCATACAGCAGCTAGATATGGGGAGTTAATGCTCATAGCGGTTTATTAAACTTTCATTTTACAATGCAATGGGTTTAGAGTTTAACTCTAAATTCAAATGCACTACATATTCCCTTCCAATTTCAAATAACTTATTGAATATCTAAACATGTCAAGCCTATTTAAAGAACATGAATACAGTAATAAGTTTTTCTTGACTCTTCTTTAGGTTGAGATTAAAGATAGGGATAGTGATGAATCACATGTGATTTGGTGCTTTAATTGTATATTATAATCATTTTCTAATTTTGAGGATCTTGTTGGTTTGTAACAATTATTTATGGTCAAGTAGATTTAGTAGTGTAGTGGCATTCATATTTTGGATGCACATAAAGATTTTAGAAACCAAGACCATGGGTTATCTTGCAACTTACCTTGGAATTTTATAACCAACATTATACAAATATATATGAGTGGTTGATCTAAGTGTACAATAGGATATCTACACAAGAGTTACTTTACTATATATAGACTAACATTCCTATGAATAGTGTTGGCATAAACTTGGGCATTATCAAATCTTGCTCTTCTTGTAAATCATGCATCTATGAATTCAGTAATAGATTTACACCAATGAAACACCTTAAGAACTAGGCCATGAGTATTTTGCAAATGTTTTATACCAATCTTCAATATTTATGTTTTGTGGTTTTGCAATATATTACAAACTTATAACATATGGTTTTTATATTCACACCATAATTTATCATGTGACTCATTTCATTATTACTTGTGAGATATTTACTACAAAAGTTTCCCATGCCATTTTCAACATTTATATACAAGTTGTTTTCTGATTTGGGTAGCCAAAATGAATAAAGGACAACAACACTCTAGAACACAATATCGTAAAGAATAATATGAAGTATTGTTAGGGTGTTGTGTCAAGAAACTTTATATATAGAACATTAACATGTAATCAAGTATTAAGCTCATGTTTATCTATTATTTTCTAATATGACCTTTTATCTCTAGCACAACAAGCATTTATGGTGTAAATTGTATGAGTTGGTTTGTTTTTACAAGCATCTCCTTGAGATATGAAATCTACATAAGGTCTATCCTTATAGATGTGGAGCTTGTAAATTTAGATGTGGATATAGATTATTTCAAGCCATCCCATATATGTACAAACATATTTTAACCATT